CGATTCCTCAACACCACATAAGCAAAAAGAAAAAAGCCGGAAGTGGCGCTGTGGCTCAAGTGGTAGAGCGCTAGCCTTGAGCTGAAGAGCTGAGAGACAGCGCCCAGGCCCAGACTTCAGGCCCCACGACCGGACCCCCCCCCAAAAAAAAAAAGATCCAGAAACCCATCAAATCAAAGAAAGACTGGATAAATGGGATTGCATTAAACTGTAGAGCTTCTGCATGACAAAGAACATAGCTAGCAAGATCAATAGAAAGCCCACAGATTGGGAGAGATCTAAAGTAGCTGTACAACAGACAAGGGCCTCATATCTAAAATATACTTAGAGCTCAAAAAATTAAACCCCAAAAAAACAAATCCTCAAAGAAACAACCATCCCATTAATAAGTGGGCCAAAGACTTAAAAGAGAGACTTCTCTGTAAAGGAAATAAGAATGATCAATAAGACATGAAGAAATGTTCAATATCTCTGCTATTAAAAAATGGAAATCAAAACCACATTGAGATTCCACCTCACCCTAGTTAGAATAGCCATTATCAAGAAAAAAAATAATAACAGATGCTGTCAGGAATATGACCAAAAGGGAAGGCTACTACACTGTTGGTGAGAATGTAAACTTGTTCAACCACTCTGGAAAGCAGTATGGAGTTTCCTCAAAAAAAAAAAAAAAACTAAACATAGAGTTCCCCTATGACCCAGCAATCTCACTCTTGGGCATTTACCCAAATGATCACAAACAAGGCCACACTAAAGCTACCAGCACAACTATGTTCAGTACAGCATTATTTACCATAGCTAAGATATGGAACCAACCCAGATGCCCCTCAGTAGATGAATGGATCAAAAAAATGTGGTACATATATACACAATGGAATTCTTTGCTTCTATCAGAAAGAATGACATCACCCCATTCGTAAGGAAATGGAAAAACTTGGGAAAAAATGTATTAAGTGAAGTAAGCCAGACCCCCCAAAAATAGGCTCCATTGTTTCCCTCATTAATAATTACAATAATTACATAATAATTACAATAATTACAATACTCCTAGCAGAGAATCACAATAGTTCAATAGCTATGTACATAAGACCGTATAAAATGATGCTAATCAAAATGAACTCCAAGATATGGAAAGAAGAGGCTCATTTTGTAATGTACTGTTTTCAGTTATTTCTTTCTTTCCTTCATTGTATTCCTTTGGTTTATTCCCTGTTGTCATTGCTTTTTATTTTGATACCTTTTGTCATGTATGTAAGTTTATCTGATTTGGGGAAGGGAAGGGAAATTACAGAAACAGTGGGTGAACCAATGCAACAGCGATACTCACAAGACACTGTTGGAAATGAACTTTACAACTTAGCGGGGAGGGACATCAGGTGAAAACAAAGGAAGGGGTAACACTGAAAAGAAATGTACTCATTAACTTATGTAACTGTAACCCCTCTGTATATCATCACCTTTACACTAAAGTAAAATTTAAAATAATTATAATTTCTTTTAAAAGATAAGCAGCTTGGAACTCTGATGCAAGTACTAAGTCATGTTTTGGTTTTGTTGTTTTATTTTTTAGATCAAAATGTATCAGCATAAGAATTCTGTATCTATCATAAGTACTTCTGAATTCATATCAAAGCAGTGAAGCATAATGTGACATTTGTAGGCTTTGGAGTCAGTGTTGATCCAAGTTCAGCTTCAGGTTCTGCTATATATTAGCTGTGCAAATTTTGAGCTAAAATGGTATTAGGATATGTAGAACACTTGTTTTGGTTTATTCTCTAAAGTTCTATAGTTTTGAAGCACCAAAACATATTTTCTTTAACAGAGTACTTGGCATAGTCAAGCAGAAAATCTATTAAGTTCACGTTTTAAGTTTATGAACACTGTGTATTAATTGTATTTTGATTAATCCTGGAACACTTAAAGAAGTACTGAGAAGCTTCCATCATTCACCTTCTTGTCAAACTTTGCTTGTTTTTATTTTGTTTTTTAAGCTTAGAGTTAATTTAACATTTAAGTTATACCTTGCTCAATAGTTTGTGTATGGATCTGACATGATTGAAATGGGGCTGATAACTTGACAATGCTTTTCTGTCCTACTACAGAGCAGTAGTGGTAAAAAGAAAATTAGCATAAGAGAACAGCTTGAACTCCTGGAAGAACAACTTGCTTAGAACTCCTAACTGTACTTACAATGAAGAGACTAAAGAAAACAAAGCTAACTTGATTTAAATGCAAGACAAAAACTTAAGAGTTTTTCTGGTGCTGGTGGCTCATTTTCTGACTTGGATAATATATTTTAGTGTCAAATTATTCATTTTTCTTAAGTGATTTATTTTTGGCTAATATCTTTAAGTATTTTTCTCCCCCCACCCCCCCAATCTCTGTTTCTCCTTTTTTTCCTTGCAGCTCCTCAAAGAAATTTTGAAATTGCCTTCAAGATGTTTGACTTGAATGGAGATGGAGAAGTAGACATGGAGGAGTTTGAACAGGTAAGTTGTGGCAGATTCTTTCAGTATTTAAAACACATTTTCATGGGCCTTAGATTTAATAGAGGTTTTAATAAAGTAATCTCATCTTTGCTTCTTTTAAATCCAAAAGCAATGATAGATTTATATATGATATTCTGATTATCTAATCAAAATGGTAATAATGACTATTGTTTATTAAATGTCCTGTGTGTAGAAAACTTTACTCTAGAAACACTTGTATGCATTATCTTTCTTTTTTTTTTCATTATCTTTCATCCTCATAAAAATGCTGTGAATACAAGAACTATTGGTTACCATCTACATGAAGAAACTAAGAATCAGAGGGCTTGAATACATAGCTTAGGTGGACATAGCTACTAAATTATAGACTGGAGAAGAACTTGAAAGCTTCTGTTCTTTCTACTTTGAGTTCGAAGAAGTGGATCACTGATGAGATGAAATTCTTTTGCAGATTAATAGTGTAAACTATTGTAAAATATATAACATAGTAATTTGATTGGTAATTTGTTTTTACTACTTACATAAACTTTAAACTGGGTAATGGATATACAGTTCTCCAAACATTGATTTAGGGAACACAGGCTCTTTATGTATTAGGACCCTGTAAGCATCATATGGGCTTTCAAGGTATAAACAGCGTGGAGAATTATACTTGGATAGTTTTTATGGGCCAGGTCTGAAGTGGCACATCTGACTTCCAGTGGCACTCTGCTAGCTAGATGAGCTAGGCAATCAGCCATTCCCTGACACCACATTCTTAATATGCAGAGGCTGAGGTTATAGCTCAATAATAGAGTGCTTGCCTAGCCTGCACAAGGCCTTGGGCCCTGAGTTTGATACTTAGCACTGCCAAAATAAAAACAAAATAATTCTTACTTTTTTTTTTCCTTTGGAAGCACTAAGGTTTGAACTCAGGACTTCATGTTAGGTTCTGAAACTTAAGATACACACCCTTCCCTTTTTGCTTTAGTTGTGTTTCCTAACAGGGTTTTGAGTTTATGCCAACGACAGCCTAGACTGCACTTCTTTTTTTTTTGGGGGGGGGGGTCCGGTCGTGGGCCCTGAACTCTGGGCCTGGGCCCTGTCCCTCAGCTCTTCAGCTCAAGGCTAGCGCTCTACCACTTGAGCCACAGCGCCACTTCTGGCTTTTTTTTCTTTTTGCTTATGTGGTGCTGAGGAATCGAACCCAGGGCCTCATGCATGCAAGGCAAGCTCTCTACCACTGAGTTACCTTCCCAGCCCCTGCACTTATTCTGTTTATTTCCTCTTGTGTAGCTGGAGTGACAGGTGCACATCAACATCTGAAGAGTCAATAGTGAGAAGAATAGAATTTTTTTAAAGTTTACTAAGATATAGAAGATATTATTGTGAGCCTAATCATTGGCCTAGTTGTGTGAGAGATTGTATGCCTCCCCAAAATAATTGCTTACTCTTTTCTGAAGAGATTTCCTAAAGGATCCTAATTATAATGGTAGGTTATCTGTGATAGAATCCTAGTTCTGCTGTTTCTCTAGCCACTTTACCCTAAGCGGGTTATCCAACTCTGTATGCCCCCATCTTCTCCACTATAAAGTAAGGACTTTAATAATGAGACCAATTAGGTAAGATTGTTGTGTTAAAAAGAGATAATGATGTTCACACATAGTCTACAATGGTTATTATTATTTTCCATGCTTTTATTTTTCCTCTAATGTTTTCCTGGTTGGGGATTTGATTCTGTTTTAGGTTCAGAGCATTATTCGTTCCCAGACCAGTATGGGTATGCGCCACCGAGATCGCCCTACTACTGGTAATACCCTGAAGTCTGGCTTGTGTTCAGCCCTTACAACCTACTTTTTTGGAGCCGATCTCAAGGGGAAATTGACCATCAAAAACTTCCTTGAATTTCAGCGTAAACTTCAGCATGACGTTCTGAAGCTAGAGGTAGGTACTTGTTGGTCTTCAGGAGGTCCATCAAATGTACACACAGAGCCACTGGGTTACGAGTGCCTACATGAGACATTTTTTCCATTTAGATCCAGCTGTGGTAACTGATTGATTTGAACTTGTTCAGTTGGTAATCTGTACCAACAGCAGGCAAGAAAATTATATATTCTGTGAAAACTGTCAAGGAGTGACTCTAAAACTAAAAATCCAAAGTGTCCAGATTTTAAATCTTTGTTGTCTATGGATACCCTCTACAGGAGAAAATATAGGGGTCAGAGTAGTTTTTGCTCTGAAACATACATGCCCAGTTTTATATCTCTTTGCAATGAGCACCAGAAGCTAGAAATGAGAGGGAATAATAAACATCTCTCTGTATAGTTTGCAAAAGTAGTAACAGCTGGAAACACAAAATGTCAATGAAAAAGGATGTGCTCAGAGTTACAAAGATGTCTTGCTGTTTGGAGATTTACAAGTTTAATTTTCCATTCAAATTTTAGGTAATCATTCCATTCAATCTGTAGATACCACCCCCAAACATTGATGTTTTTGAAATGTCTATTTGTGAAATTAAGTATGTTTTAGATTGATTGGCTATTGATTCTGTTCAAAACATCATATGCATTCTATATTAACTTTCATCTGGAAACAAAAATATTTACTAGTTTTTTAAGTATTTTGAAAATTCCACTACACTAAATTTCTGAACCTCTTTCTTTTCCTAACATTTGTTCTACCTTAATTTTGTTGGGAATTTCTAAACATTCAATAATCTACCTAAAAACATGGGAAAATACTGGAGTCACTGCTTCATTTTTATTGTCTATGTTACTTCTTTACTGTCCCATTACCCCCTAAGAGTCTATATAAAATTTCCAGTTTTCCCACCCATTCAATTCAACTGAGACAGTTTAAAAAATTGCAGCTGAGTTCCAGTTATCCATAAGAATGCTGCTTGAAAGTCTTATGCCCAGATAAGGATCCCCAAAGACCACCAAGGAGCTAATTCTGATGTAAGCACATGAGAGTCATTTATTACAAGCTCGAGCCTAGACTCACAACCATCACTCACATAGCCGGTCAGAGTTGAACGCCCCATCCTTCCTCTTATAGGGTTTTTAGAGACTTCTATGTGTCATTGCAATGCTTAACAAACCATATCACACTGCAGGAAAATCATAAAATAATTCTAAAAGATGATTAGAATAACCAGTGGCTGGACCTGACCAAGTAATGGGGATTGGCTGGTTCATGGGGTTGATGCTTTTTGAAATGATTGGCTGGAACAGATGGTCCTTTTCCTGTTATCTGCTGATTAGCTGTGGTTAGCAGAATTTTCCATAAAGGGCATTGTTCCTGGAATTTGGGCTCAAGGGGAGGGAGTTACTGACACAATTCCCGGACAAAATGGAATCCAAACCTAAAATTGCCATATTTTGTTCAGACTTCACAAAAGCCAGGCGCTGGTAGCTTAACCTGTAATCCTAGCTACTCAGGCAGCTGAGCTATGAGGTTAGTGGTTCAAAGTTCATGAGAGGCTTATGTACAATAAACTACTCAAAAACCAAAAGTGGAGCTATGGCTCAAAGTGGTAGAGTGCTAGCCTTGAGCAAAAGAACTCATGGACAGCACCCAGGTCCCGAGTTCAAGACCCATGGCCAAAAAAAAAAATGCTCCTTGATGTTCATAAGCTGGGAAAAGCTAGAAGGATGAATAATACTGAAACTCAGAACGAACTTGGAAATGTGCCTTTATACTTGTTTTTGAAAATTATATAATATTCATAGAATTTACATAAAAAAGAAATGGATTTCTATGATTCAACAAAGCTTCCTTTAATAAGTGGCAAAAACTGTAGGTCCATAAACTTTACTACATGGAAGAGCCCTGCAGCTTCCCTACTCTAATTGCCTTAGCTCTGCTGGAGAAATACTTCCTGGTTGCACAGCACTAAGCAAGCCTGAGGAAAGGCTAAGTGCTTCCATGTCAGTGATTTTTCTCCACTGTGTGAAGTCTAGCAATTCACTGAAAAGGCTTCAACAATAATTGAAGTAAAGTAGCTATCTACTCAGCTCTCATTTAATCAGAAAATGAAATTAATCATACCTCAGTTGACATTTTACTTTCATTTGATTATACATAGAAAGTTTTGTCTTTAGTACTGTGGGCTTTACCAATAACCTTACCTCATCAAACTTGCAGATGATATAATTCAAAATAGAATTTCACAAATTGGAGAAAAATAATGCATTTTAGAACATTTAAGCATTAGTCTTCAAGAACTTTATTTGGAAATGTATGGAGGTTGAATTTCCCTACTCAAAATGTTTGGAGCCAAAAGTGGTTTGGGGCTTTGAATTTTTATTTTGGAATATTTTCAGGTATATAATGAGATCCTTTAGAGATAACTTAGACTGGGAGAGACCCAGTCTAAGCACAAAATTAATTTTTATATACACTATACATACCCTGAGCCTAATTTTTTTCTGGTCAGTCAAGAGGCTTGAACTCAGGGCCTGTGCCCTCTCCCTGGAATCTTTTCCTCAAGGCTAGCACTCTACCGCTTTGAGCCACAGCTCTACTTCCAGTTTTCTGTTGGTTGATTGGAGATAAGAGTCTCATGGACTTTTTCCTGCCCAGGCTGGCTTTGAACCATGATCCTCAGATCTCAGCCTCCTAAGTAGCTAGAATTAACAAGTGTGAGCCACCAGCTCACTGTGACCCATCAGATGAGGTCAGGTCTGGAGTTTTCCACTGTGGTGTCAAAGCAGATACTTCTTAGGCAACAACTTCTATTATTTTGTTTACTGTTTTATATTGAATTGGTTATTTTTATATACAAAATATATTAGAGATGTTACAATTTATACCTTTGATAAGCTTCTGTTCTAATAGGAATATTTGATTATATCCCTCAGAGTACAGAAGAAAGTAGTAACATAATTTAATCACTTTTGTGTGTCAGTTTGTTTTAAACTTCAAATCATATACTAGATTCCTAGTAAGCATACTCAGACTAGTTCTTAGAAACAAAATCTAGGAATATGAATTACTTATTATTTTTAATTACAATTTAGCAGATAATATATTACATAAAATGTTGTTAGAAGCTGGTGTTGGTGGCTCATACCTGTTATCCTAGCTACTCAGGAGGCTGAGATCTGAGAATCACAGTTCAGAGGCAGCTCAGGCATGAAAGTCCTTTAGATTCATTTCCAAAAAACTAGTTAAAAGCTAGAAATGGAGCTGTGGCTCAAGTGATAGAACATTAACCTTGAGCAAAGTATCTCAGGGACATTGCCCAACCCCTGAGTTAAAGCCCCAGGACTGACCAGAAAAAAAAATTAGGCTCAGAATACACACACACACACACACACACACACACACACACACACACACGGTTAGAAAGTAAACACAAAAAGGTGAACAGATGCCAATCTCCCCGACAATCTATCCTAAGACTTATCCCTGAAGCAGTGAAATAGAGAGAGAGCGCGTGGGACTCTGTACTCCCCTGAATTGTGATAGAACTGAAAGTTTACTAATGTTTTATTCGGATTGCCAGTGGGATTAGCAATGATACAGAAGATAAGGGAATTCATGCATGAGTCTCTGCATCTACATATAGCAGCAGCCCTATCTAAAATACTTATTCTAAAAAGGTTTCTTGTGTTTAACATTGACTAAGGATTATTCGTACATTTGGGGTCAAAACTGGTCCTGTCTTCCATTTAGCAGTTTCTCACGTGAGAAGACACCCAGACTTACGTGAAAGAATACAGCCTGTCATTTAGTGTCTATAAATAGTTATTATTAATTGTCATTATTATCCTAAATCCACTAGTGTGGCTCCATACTATGACTGTATCCACAGTTTCCCAATTTACAGTCTCATCCATCAATCCTGAGTCTTCCCAACAGATTTACATTCCTTTGAGTAAGTGTGGATAGCAGAAAGCATTGTCTTTGTTGCTTATAAGCCTTTGTTAAATTTTTACTTACTATTTAAGTGACCCTTGATGCATTGGTTAATCACTCAGGGCTTTGTAAAATAGAGCCATGGCTAAATGAGATGATGTTTTGTTATGGTCTGAATGATACCCCTCCAAAATGTCTCAGAATGTGATGTACTCTATTTGGAAAAAGGGCCTTGAACCTGATGATATTTCAAAAGAGGCCATTAGAGTGGACCCTAATCCAGTCTTATTTCTCTTTAAGAAGACAGGAGTCTATGCACAGGAAGGCAGTCCCATGGAGAAGCACTCCAAGGGCAGCCACCTGCAGGAAACTGACCATGTAGCACCTGATTCTTGGACATTCAGCCTCCAGAATTCTGAGAAAATACATATCTGTAATTTAAGCCACCCACCTGGGTCATTTTTCATGGCAGCCCTATCACACTAAAGCAAAATGTGAATAAGTTTTTTCACTTTGTTTTATATGCATGCCCCCTCTGCCATGACATTAGACATTTACTGGGCATGCAAACAGGTCATCTCAGCTAAGAGCCTGAAAAGCCTAACTCTGATTTTAAAATCGCTTTCTGAGAGAACATCTGGAAAATGGCAGCAATTTTTGTTTTTATGGAACACTTTTAATTTCACTTTTGAAAGTTTGGGTGATTTCTCCCTTCACTGAGTATGAAATATCAAGGCCAAGAGGAAAATAGAAATGATTAATGGTATCTTAACAACTTTCATATGGGTTTTATAATTCCATCATTCCTTCTCTCCTACTATTTTTATTTCATTCCTTATCTACTTTAACATTTAAGATCAAGGAGATTTATTATTCCATTTAGTTCATTGTTTCTATCCTCTTCTCAGCACAGTTTCTTTGAGATTAAAGAAAATGCATTGATCAATCAAATTTAATTTCCAGAGGGATCAGGAAAGAAGGAAACATCCAGAGCATTATATCGAGTGCCTACTGTGCACTTCACAAATATTATATACCTTCTGATTTTCATTCTCACTGTCAGTGTAGTGGAACTATGCTCA